CTACAAGTAAACACTCAACCCAGTCGTCAAGTTGGAGACTTATCGCTACTCACTCCGGAACAGTTACCAGCAAGGCTTGGAGGATGATCAGCGTTTTTCCTATTTTACTTGAATCAAACTTATCAGCACCTTAATATGGACAAGGACACTTCCCTGTTGTTGTTTGTAGCGACGCACAAGGCGCTCTTCAAGGTGACCCGATTACAGTTTGCTGTGGCCTTGGCTTTGGCGATCTTCCAGCGTTATATGTCAAACACTTGAACTGTCTTGATGAAGTGCAGTGTTTTTTTTTTTTGACATTCTCATCGGCAATCAAACGGTAGCTTAACACGACGATCGGCTGCACAGGGTGCTGCAGCGCATCTAGGACAACGGCCTGCGTCTGACTTCTGACAAGTGCGCTCTTCCAGTCAAGGAAGTATAATGTACCATGTTTCCGTATCAACAAGGGCGGCGTCAGTCGTACGGCCGAAAAGGTGGAGGCCATGAAGAAAATTCTAGAACCGACGAACAAGACAAAGCTACAATCCTTCTTGGGACCTTTAAAATTTTATGGTCTTTTTCTGAAGGGGGACGCCCATGTGTTGGAACCGCTTCATCACTTCTGGATAAGGATAAGTTTTGGGGCTAGATGGAGACGAAAGCAGAGGAGTACAAGCTGGTCAAGGATCTCCTAGAATCCTCAGCTGTTCTAGCACACTATGATGTGTCACGTCCCATAAAGCTGGCCTGTGACGCTTCTCCGTCCTGGCTGGAGCTGTATGGAGCTACGTGAGAGAAGACGGCATTGAAAGACTTGTGGCCTTTGTATCGAGAACTTCGTTGCTGCCAGAGCGCAACTACACACACACACAACACTGAGAATAATGAAAAACATTTTGCTGTCGCCCCCCCCTCCCCACCACCCCCACTCCCCCCCCCCCCCCCTCCGCCTCAAGCTACACGGCCCAACGGTCAACTGGAAGTTAGTCTTGGATATGAGCGCCCCAAATTGGAGAATTTTAAGGCTGTATTCTGGTTCCAGCGCGGAAACATTCAGCTGCCTATCTGTTTTTAAGTACATGTGTCAAGTCATTACCCTTTTCGCCACTGACAGATAAGTGACAAATAATATGCCTAGACATCTCGCAAGAAATCAGTAAAGACACTGAAGACTTTCGTGGCAGATTTGAGAAGTAGGAATCATATCTCAAAATCTGCAGTAACAAATACAAAGCTTATGAGTACAGTGCCTTTAGGAGGGGCTATTCTACGGATATTCTACTGCCATGTCAGACATCGAAGTGCATCTCATTGTTTAGCACTTACTTTGCGAAATTACTACCAATCAAACCTACAATATCCCAGACCGGAAATGGAAGATGTTTGGGGTGTCGGCACCTGTTCCCTCATATACCCAAATACGAAACCCCAGCATCCACCTGTCCTTGAATAGAACTTCGCCGATACATGCAGTGAACTGGAGTCAGTTATTAAACATAATTCTAGGTAGTTTGCTTGCTTGACCACGGTGAAGGGTGTCGCCAGCTTGATCAACATCACTTACTTACCAGTGGTCTTCCTGGAGGTGACCAGCATGACAACATATGGAAATGTTGGGAGCAGGCACGTAGCCAGGGTTTTGTTTCGGGGGGGGGGGGGGGGGGGGCGCCCATGACAAAATGGTGTATGAGGGGGAGTGGAGAGAGGAGGTCCCAGCAAAATCTAAGATTTCGGGCCGGGGGGGGGGGGGGGGGGCTCCATGGGCCGCCCCCCTGGCTACGTGGCTGTTTGGGAGACAAATGGTCATCCAGTGACATGGTGTTGACTGTCTAAGTGTATGCCAAGGCGGCGAAGAAACCTGGTTCTACAAAGTGCTTCCGTGTTTGGTGGTGAACGGATTAGTACATGACAACATTCGCTCAACAGTGACTGTGAAAATCGGTGTGAAAAGCATTGGCGCTTCATGCTCGGTGTGAAAAGCATTGGCGCTTTATGCTTTTATGAGAACAGTCTCCTTATGGTGGTGGGAGATTTTTCGCTGAGTGCGTTAGTGCATGGCAGCTTGTAGCACGTGGGACGAAACCTATCCCTGCAGGACTCAGGAATCCCAAGCTCAGTGTTCTTGCCGACACAAACCTTGATAGCAAGGCATGCATTAAAATTTACTACCTCAACTACCTTTCTTGATCAACCACTGCATTACGGAACGTCCATTGGACAGGAGTAGAGAGCCAGCATTCGGCTAGGACTGGTGGTCAAACAGTGCTTCATCGATTGAACATTAATCCCGGCCAAAAACAGATGCAGCAGTCATGTGCTATTTGTAAACTGCAGCAAGTCATGATAGGTGGAGTACATTAATTACTATCTTGTATCCAGGTGGCGTTACCCCTGCCCATTTCGATCTGTATGAGCATCGTACCACTTTGCGTTTGTGTATCACCAGGCTAGCAGTCATACTGCACTTGCTAAACTTCTCATGTACATAACAATTTATTGTTGCAATACTTCACAGACAAGTAAACACAAACGCCTAATTTTCCTTGATTTGGTAAAATAGAGTGGACAGAAGGCCCGCGGGTGTGGAAGAGTTCTAATGATTGAAAGTTACAATAAAGAAGAATATCACAAATCTTCACTCTGAAGCAAATTGATTTCACCTGACACTAATAAATACAACAGCTATATAAAATAGAGCTCCTTGCTGAGTCATTTTATTTAGGAATGCCATCACTGTTGCTGCATGTCACTCACATTTTGTGGGAGCTGTACTTGAGCATGTCGGACCGCTTCAAAACCGAGCCGAAGCAGCTTCTTTGGCTGTGTTGCCCCCTCCTTTTCACTCTTGTCAGCTGCTCATTACTGCTTGCGCCGGTCCTTATACCACTGCTTCATCGGACTGTTCTGGAACTCATGGCATCATCACATACATTGCCACTGATCTCAGGTATCTTAAGGCGGCGGCCCTGATGCTGGCTATTGCACTGTCCTCCTCAGTTCCTTGCAATTCCTTGATTGCTGCTTTTCCAGAAGGCCCCTCACACAGATCGCTTTCTGCTGTGCTTTTGCACTGCAAGTTTGAAAACAAGCGAGGAGAATATCACGGAAGTTACCATGGCTGCAAGAAACTGCTGCGTGTTATTCAGACGTGGTGATTCCAGAAACTTGTAGATTTCTCTGTAATGCAGCCAGCTCACCTTGCCTACTTCTATGGTGACTCGAAGCAGCAAATGTCTTCTGAAACATGTAGATGGTTTAAGAGGCAACTCTGCAGCAACTGCATTCAATGTATATATGCAACACCTTATTAAACAATGTTCAGGATGTTTTAGAATATAACTTTTGCACGGATCATGTTCCTAGGGATAGGATGCTTATATATAAAGACACGCAGCATAATTAGCTTTGAAACAGTATGGGATAATTTAAGTTCCTACTAAAGAAAGCAAGAAATAAAAACATTGAGAAACTGACTGCATGCAACATTTCATTTGATATATTTTGCGGTGCTTGTCATTGGGAATGTAAAAGCCGGTGAAAGGTGACGGTGCCGAACACCTACACTATGTTCATTAAAACAACAGACCCTTTACAAGATTTGTATCACTTAAACGAGTAAACTCTTCTTGCCGTCTTGCATTCTTGCCAGAATCGCTACCTAGAGGTACATTTGACAAGGAATGTTGGCCAATCTTGGGACTTGTTGCCTGAGCAAGAAACGCGAAATTTAAAGCACTGCTAGGTGACGACCGCTACTATGAATTAGGACCAAGCCGGTCGTGCAGTGAACTCGTTCGAGGTGCGCTGTGCTGCGATGGCCTACACACGCAAAACAAATACTAGGCGGACGTCCCTTCAGATAATTGTTTTCGTGCTCCTGTTGACTTAGAAGGTTACGGCCATCATCAAAATTATAACTTACCCAAATATGTTCCTTGAGGTTTCGGCGTTTTGACGAGCTGCGGCATATGCCTCAAGGAAACCAGGGCTGCTAGAAACGGCCGCAGGCACACGGAAAAGCCGCTGTTCCGCTTCTACTACCGAAGATAATCGAGGCGCTCGCTCACATGATTCAAGTGCTAACTCTCTAGGAGGGTCCAGTTGACAGGTGGAATTTCTTCGCGGCAGACGATTTTTTCGACATCGTAAAAAACGCGTAAATGTGGAGTGCAACTGCAACTAATGAACCGAGCGCAGACCGAGGCGAGCTGACGCCAGGTGCAGAGCCATTAGGCCTACTGGATAACTGAAGCCGTGAGTAGGTTAAACAATCGGAAACGTAACGCGTTCGAAATATACTTCTAGCACATTATTTTCGTAATTACAACGATGTAAAATTTGTTCCCGCAAGTATATTACTTCTTGTTTTTAAATCCCGTAACATGTGTCCAGCGCTGCTGACGAAAGTATGATCTTCAAGCCGTAAATTTGATTAAGGAACTCAGTTTATCTAATATGATATTTACGTTAAATGACATTCTATTTTTCTTGTGGCACTAGCTCAATTGCATTTACACAGAATGTCATTTGGCGTGAATGCAACATTGGGTCCAGTCTGACAGGGGTAAAAAAGATGAGAAGGCTCTGCTCTTCAGATACGCACATTGACAAGTGTTTAGGTGCCATTTGAAGTCACAACTAATAGGTACCGGGCTTTCTATATACTTCTTTTTTATTTATATTTGCCATTCAAGTTTATATTCAATACTATGTTGATGAAAAACACAAGTAAATATATGTATAAATAAATACGCCGTCCTCAACTAAATTTTGCAAAAAAAAATGGTTTAAGTGTTTAATTCATATTGATTTTTCCATTTTTTTTAAATATTTCTGCCAAGCCCTCTTATGCAAAAGGGACTTTTAAGTCCCTATGTGCTCGAAATATAAGTAGATAATTCTCCAGTAATTTTAAAAGTGTGCTCTTTCTAATTACTTGCGATGCCCAGCCTATACTCACCATCTCATTTTAGATTAAGTGAACTCATTTATGGTTAACCCGTACATTGTGCTTACAGGTGACATGTGCTATTACAATGAAGATGGCCAGTTCTTCTTTGTTGAGAGAATGAACGATCTCTTCAAAGCCATGGGCATACTCGTGGCACCTTCGTCGATTGAACGTGTATTGCTCAGCCACAAAGGAATCGAAGAAGCTGCGGTTATTGGTGTTCCTCATCCAGAATATTCTCAAGTTGCAGGGGCATTTGTTGTGCTGAAGACGGATAGCCGCAATATTACTGAGGAAGAGCTAAAAAACTTTGTTGCAGGTAAATATCCGTTTCGATATTATCATCGCTACATGCCAAGTTTTGAAAGGAATGTGCCCCTGTACCTCATTTGAACAGAACTGAGGGGGATTATACTCGAACATGACATAAACCACGAGACTGCAGGTAGAAAGCGACAAGGACACTTAAAGGTTTGGAACACCCCTGAATTTCTTGTTTATTTCCGTAAGGTGCTGACACAGGGAGCTTGATATATCAAGGTGCCAAAACGTACTTCTACAGGCACCTTGACTAAATGTGAAGGCACCTTACCTATATAGGCACCTTTGTCAGGTCAATGCGCCTTAAAAATGTCACCTTGACTGTATATATCTGTAGCCGCCTTGACAAGTTAATATGTTTATATATAGGCACCTTGACTTGTCAAGGCGCCTATATGAGCATTTTTCGGAAGTGAACAATTTAGCAGTGATCCAGACCTTTTAGAGTTCGTGTCGTGTTTTGCCTCCAGTCTTGGGGTTTATATCATGTTTAATCTAAAGGCGATCGTTTGCACCCTTACATTCACTGAATTACACTTGATGAACATTATACGTGGTGCTTCAGCTAACATGTGCCAAGTCTTAACGCTTGTCGCTGCACGTAACACGTCTCGAACAAACGTATTATTCGCAGTCCTGTCGGCTATATAGAACAATTCACTATGTTTTTGCAAAGTGTCAAACTAGGCGATTACTGCACAGTGCTGAGCTAACTTTTTTCTTCATAACCTTTGACCTTGCCTCCACGTGCCAGTGGCCCACAATCCTGGCTGGCGTTACGGCTCCAATGACTCCAGTGCAAAGGCCGACATTACTGTCGCGTTGGGCCCCTGCGCTGGCCAATGACGCTACTAGGCAGAGCTACGCTCAGATCCACCTTTATTCGCCATCCTTCATTCAATATGCAGACCTGGGTGCCTGACAGCTGGCCGCGATCTTTCTCCAACATCACGACATTGTCAGTCGATCCGATCAGGCCTTCGACTCTGACTTAACGGCGCATCCGCCCGCTGGCTGACACGAAACACCGTGAAACTTGAGGCGGCCGCATCCGCTTGGTAACATCACGTCCACGCCTGTCTGGGACCTATTTGAACCTTGTCACGTAAGCAGCGCCGAGAATGGCATGATCCGCTTGCCTACCAGCAAACATCCGCCGAGGTTCGCGTTACACTACCGATTCGGCATTCCTCGCGAGATCGGTGCGGCGTGTCTCGAAGCTCGTCTGTAGCCTTATATAACCAGGAGAAAAAAATGAAAGCCGTTTACAAATCCCTGTAACGCCGCATTGGAGCGCAGCTCTTGAGGAGGAGTAGGGAAGGGTACTGAGGGGGGTCACGTCACCTGCGGGTAGTCACGTGACCCCGGGGGGGTCACATGATCTCGGGGGGGGGGGGGGGGTGGTCAGGTGACCTCGGGGGGGGGGGTCACGTGACCCCCCCCCCGGTTACGCCGACGCCGACGGCGACGCCGACGCCGACGCCGACACCGACGCCGACGGCAACGCCGACGCCGACGCCGACGCCGCTCAGGCTGGAAACGGGCCCCTAAGAGCTGCGCTCTAAAAGGGGGCAGGAGACAAAGTGCTCGGGCTGTCAATGTAAGAGAGCTCAAGCTGTGGTCAAGAGTATACTTCGATGGGAGACTTCCTAGATAGTTTTCGATTAGGGGGGGGGGGGGGGGGGGTCTTCATTGAGATTCTTCGAAGGACACTATTCACTCGAGGGTCTGTATTCGTGTAGTTTTTATTGAAGGAGTCGACAAGCCGTAGCTGTGGCCGCAGAAACGGGACTAGGAGGCGCTCGGAATGTGAGTCAGTAAACTGTATGATAGCTTGCGCTGTCATGTGTGACGTACTTGGGAACAACAGAGGCGTGGCTTGATCGCCTCGGACGTCGTATATAAATAAGTTCAAACAATCCAACACTTTTTTTTTTAATATTGGGTTGTCAGCAAACTCTCCAATGCCAAAACATTACAGAGTGTGTTAAAAACATTACATCGTGGTGTTTCTATCACGATACAATATTGTGTAATTGATTCGAGCTCTAAATATAACGCGCGAGATCAAAAAAGTGTCCCTCCACTTTATAAATGCGATTATAGTTCCCTCATTTCCATCGGTTCATTTCTTTATTCTCACTCGTTTTGTTTAATAAAAAAAAAGTTTGCCAGACGAAGGCTACCTTCACAAAAAAGTGCAAAGCAAAGTAGAATGTTTCTGAGTGCTCTATACAACTTTGTAGATAATGGTTTGCGCGCAACTCAAAGTATTAAAATTCAATCCCTGTATTAAGTATATCATTACGCACATCACAATTTTCGTATATTGCTCAAAAGCCAACGAACAATATCTAAATGGTTTGATAGGCGTAGTGCTCACAGCTTTTTTTTTAATTTATATGAAAACGTTATTCACACATTCTGTATGGCACAACAAAAATTTAATTTAAGTTAAAAATAGATTAATAGTAGAACCGTTACTCAGCTAGCAGTTCAACCTTTAAACAATTTGAGGAGTCAAGTAAGGATTATTTCTTTACTGTTCTAAAAACTACGCATGAAAATAAGATATGCTTTTTCTTTCCTCCTTAGGACAACTTGGAGTCTTTATGCACCTCCACGGTGGTGTCAAGTTTGTTCAAAAGATGCCAAAAGACGACTCCGGCAAAGTTAACAAAAAAGAACTTATGATGTACCGCCAGGGCACCTGATGGTACTCGTCCTGTACTGAAAAGAAACGATAAATCTACTCTTTCGTTTTAGTAAAACATTACCGAATTCATTAGCATTTATTCGGAATCTAATGTGCTGGTGCGCGACGATGGCAGTCATTCGCTTCGTTGGCTTTACTTGCACCTCCTCCACTGGTGCAGCAGAGTGGAGGGCAGCGTACTTCCGGTATCTGTATTTAGATACGACAGTAAGTAGACAGGCCTATACTTTTCTGCACCGGTGCCGGAGGTGCAGTTTAATCTAACGACACCATTATATGTAGTTAGGCGAAACTGGGCTGCACTCAAAACACTGTGAGCTGCACTCAAAACGCTGTGAGCAGCCTATAGCGTCTTTTATTCACTCCGAAAAACTAAATTTTGAGAATGTTGTAATATTTCAGTTGGAGAACATCAAGTCTTAAGGAGAAAACTTTTTTATTCACGCGCTAGTTTGCTATCGGACAAATCACAACAGAAGAGCCGAGTAACATCAAAGCGCCTAACTTCAATGAAGCATCTTTACCCAACGCCCCTCGAGCAAGACGAAGCTACTGGCATAATTTTCGGTATACTTTTGACCACGTCCCTCTACAAAACGCTAAACTGGAGAATCTGACGGCATTGAATATGTGCGCAGCACGAGTGTGTTGTCACGATCAACACATCAGGGCTTTTTTATGTATTTTACTCGGCCGAATCAAATTCAATTCTATTCAGTCAAGGTTAGAGTCGATAATAAATATTTTCCTTTAGAGCAGTGTTTTTTTTTTTTGTAGACTTTGACACTAAAATGAAAGCAAAACAATTCATCGATTGGTTGTTGGTCCTAAAAGTGTCGTAAACGAAAAACGAGTGAAGAGCGTTATAAGTAATGCTCTTTCAATTAGAAAATTTTGTTGTAGATCCTCAGCTTCACCAGTGATATGCGACAAGCCAGGCAGTGCCTCAAAATAACGTTTAAACTGGGCCGAGCTTGGCCATCCAAAGAGCCTAAATTAGGCTTGATATTGTTCTGCTCCAAGGCATCATTTAGTGCCAAAGTATTTTGTTCTTGCTCTTCTCTCTCTTTATTCTGTTTCGCCACATAATTTTCAAAGTGCCAGACTTCTGTTAATGATTCAGCGTATCAGCGGACATCCCAGCAGTGAAGTCTAATTATGGTAATTGTACTACCGCTCGCGATAAGCAGGAATTGGAAGAAGAGAAGGATGAAGACCATCAATGCGCTCTTGACCCTGCCGCTCCGCCATGTGTATCATCATCTCTCCAGTAAACTTCATAAATAGCACTCTACATTCCTTACGCCCCCTGTACACCTGTTTGCCATCGTCTAACAATTCAGAAGTAAAATAAACCACAACTTTGACCACCATTCACCGATATCCTACGACCGGCTACGTGAACAGAAATCCGAGCGAGGCGGCTAAGCCTGCAGGATTCAATGGCCGGCCGGGAGCATGCACTGCGAAAAGCCGGTCGACTGCGAGTTGGTCGCTTGCCGGCGTCTACCATCACCGGTCGACGATGCTGTAGAACTAGCCACGATACCAACAGCGGCGATTGCAGTACTGACCAACGCTTCCGCAAAAATATGACAGGAGGTACGCAGGAGTTTATCAGAGTCATCAACTATCTCGCCGAAGAAAGCGAAATGTCGTTAGGTTTTCAATCTTTGACTGCGTATAGACGTTGACAAAGCAGTTCGCCAGCCAGCGTCAACAATGCGTATTCTGTCTGCAACACGTGAGAGATTGGGGGGATGCCACGGCCCGTGTAAACAACGGCAGGGTGGAGCTCGTACATCAGTCGGTGAGAACCTAGCAAGCCTGTGGTGTGTTGCAGCCGGGCAATGGTACGGTCCTGTTTCGGTCAGAGAAAAGTCGTCGGGTTTACGCGTGATGAATGAACGAATGAGTGTTGAAAATCATTCGCCTGTCGGCGTCACCACTGCGTATTGTGTCTCCGACGTGACAGGGGAGGGAAGCCATGAGCCACCATGGTGACAGCACCGGCGCTCTCACTCAAGCCAGTGACAACCGGGTAGCCGACGAGTTTTCAAAAGAGCGACTCCGTTGGTTTTTCAAATAGTGCGAGCACAGACGAACGGTGCCCTATCATCACAACATTTTGGCCAGGCGGCGGCTAGTGGCTGGTATTTGGATAAAACCGGCCAGGCCATTCTGTGCACAGGCAAGCAATTGACCAACGGCCCTTAAAATGTCACCGTAAACCCAAGGCGTCCGGCGACTTGCTTTTTTTTTTATTGTAAATCAGTGACCAGATCTCCTTCGGCAAAAGGCTGGCAACTGACTGCACTTTTCGTCACCGGCCTTCAGTTGGAAATATATGTACAGCATATTTCCGGCAAACGCAGACTGGCATCCACTAGGCCAACTACTGCAAAAATCTGCGCAGCAGGACGCTGGCCACCGACTGCGCTTCTGTTATTCTTTTTTGGATTAGTAAAAAAAAAGCCGCTAACGGGGGAGGCATTTTGGCTGCCCGACTCCGTCTCACCCGTCAGTGTTTCTTGAGACTCGGTTGGATACAGGAAACAGGAGTGTTGTCGTAATGCTGCACAGGGTTTGATTGCCTTTTGCCCCAAAGCTCCACAAGACTCATTTCCTCCCCGCAAAAATCATCCTCCCAAGTCGTTTCAAATAATATTTTATTTGGCATCACCGAAATTAGATGATGTAAAGAAATACAAAAATTACGAAAAATATCGAATGACTTGAAACATATCGCGACAAAGTCAGATCACAATGTGCTTTTGTCGGGGCATGGATTGAGTTTTAGTATAACTCATAATATATCAGTTATACAAAAAAAAAAAAAATAAACGAACAGTCTCCAGTCTGATTCACACACCTGCGTTGAGTCAGAGTGCGAGGGTTGCTATGGCAACAGCTACGTAGGCTCCAGCAATACGGGGTAAAAGCCGGATTTCATGGAGCCGACGCAGCTGTAGTCATAGCAACCTTCGAACTCGATTGCATGCAGCGCAGGTTTGTGATTCGTCTTTTTGTTGCGTCATCCAAATCAGTTTATAGATTACTGACATTTTTTTTTCATTTCCACGTTCGACCACGGACAGTGTTGTAGGCGTTACTGCAGAAAGTTAACGAAACATGTTACTTGTTATTTGCTAAATAAATCGACGCGTTACCGACCTACGTTACCTCGAAATAACAGGAACCCGTTATCGTTACCGATAAAAAGTAACGGACGTTACTTTTGCTTTACTTTTCATTTATAAACTGACAGTAACAACTTTTTTGGGGGGGGGGGGGTTGGGGGGGGGGGGGAGGAGGGTTGGACAGCGCTTTTTGACGCTCGGACAGAGTGCGTGGGCGCTCCGGTTTCTCTCAAGTGGGACATTTCGCGTAGGGAAACAACAGAAAAAATTATAAATGTACATCGAATGAGGGCAGTAGTTAATAACATGGCACCTATACTTCGGCCGCATACTTTCCGGTGTTTATGATTTTCGGTCTTTATTTCCAGACGTACCGGTGCATTTTGGTGAATTGTTTCGAGCAGACGCTTAAAACAGCATTTCTCGTATCTGGTGGCTGCAGATACGTTGACAAGTAACCCGATACAGACGGACCGAGACAAAGAAATCGAAGACGAAATAGCAGCCTATGTACAAGGTATTACTCTCAGTCTACCATCATCACCGAACCGACTAAAGCAAATTTTAAAAATGCAAGAAAGTTATGACACCTGCAGCTGCTAAGGAACTACAGCATGCATGGCTGGCCCTCAAAGAGCTCTGTGGACACTCAATGCGTTCATTACTGGCAACACAGAAAAAGATTTCCGTAGAACAAGGGTTCCTTATTAGAGGGTCACGTATCATCATTCCCGCCTCATTGCAAAAAGATATCCTGGAGATTATACTTGAAGGTCATCAAGGTAACACAAGATGTCGAGCTCGAGCTAGAGGGTCAGTCTGGTGGCCAGGGCTGTCTACACAAATAGAAGCGCATGTGAGACGATGCACACGCTGCATTCAACAAAAAAGCAATCGCCCTGAACCTCTCATTCCTACTACAATACCAAACAGACTTTGGCAACGTGTCGGAATGGTTCTCTTCTACTTGCAATGAAAGTGGTATCTACTTGTTACGGATTACTACCCAAGGTACCCAGAGGTTGCTCCTTTGAGCAGTTTGTCAGCGAGATTAGTACTTAATCATTTGAAGTTCATCTTCGCGAGACATGGTACATCAGAGATTGTGTATAGTGACAACGGACCTCAGTTTCAAAGACTTGCGAGATTCAAGTTTCTACAGATTCCACGAGACTGGAAGTTTCATCATCTTACATCCAGCCCCAATTTTTCGCAGAGCAATGGGTTTGTGGAAGCTGGCGTGAAGATAATTAAGGCCACCTGGAAAAAAACTGATGATGCCTATTGGGCACTGCAGGCATACCGAGCAACGCCGCTGGGGAATGGCTTCAGCCTTACAGAACTTCTGTTGGGGCGCCACATTCGCACGTCCCTTCCAGCGGCAAACCATCTTCTGGAGCCCAAAACTCACGATTACACAGAGCTCCGGTAACGGCAGGAAAAAAAACTCAGACAGAAGACCAACTTCGACAAGAGACATGGTACACGCCCCTTGAAGCCAATAGAGGAAGGGGAAAAAGTGTGGATCACTGACCAGAAGACCGACGGACGCGTGAAGAAAGCTGCAGAACCACCCTGGTCCTACACAGTAGAGACGCCAAGGGGGAAGTGCGACGGAACAGATTTATTTCACTCGATCACAATGGCAATATCCATAAGAAATGTCAAAGCAGCGGACGATACCATCTGCAATCTAGAGTTGTCGTGCCCGGTGTCGTGGACTCCACAACTTCTAGTCACAAGAAGTGGACGCGTAGTAAGGCCCGTCCAGAAACTCGACCTATAATACAAAACAAAAGACGGAAAAATAAAGAGGGGGAGATGAGGCATGGAGCCCTGGGTCTTAGGGGAAGAAGAA